AGAGATGTGTGATTTTATTGAAACATATGACCGTCTCTTTCAGTTGTTAACTTTTAATATATTGTTTACAACCAGCTTATATTTCCTTCCTTCTCCACTGACTTGAAGTATTTTACACCTAAAATGTCAAACTCCCTTATATTTATAAACAAATTCCACTCACTGTGTCACATTTGAAATTTTGCCTGTAAATCAGAACACGCTGTGACTGAATTGCTGCTCCTATTATCTACCACTTACTTATATCAAAGCTTGTAACTGGATTAGTGGGGAAACAGTTACATTATACTTGCATTTAAGCTTTGCTGAACAGCAGGCTTCCTTCCTGCAAGAAAGAATAGCTAGGAAGATAATAGAAACACTGGGAAATGATACAGCATTCACTCTGACAACTTATACATGATTTAAGTACAGAAAGGGGCTGTTCCTTAAAACCAGAAAAACGTAGAAATATAAACCTCAGAATGAGAAGTCTGCTTGGTATTTTCTATGTGTTGGTTCTAGGCAACTTGGGAAAACTGCAATATAAATCACATCATGGATTATTTCTTTGGATGACTGAGATGGCCTTAGGTATGAGAGGGAAAGTTAATTATGGAATCACTAGCAAGCTTCCTCAGCACCTTATTATTATGTCTTCCTGAAGTTATAAAAGCTAAATGTTATTTTGTTTCTTTACTAGACTTTCTGTTTCAGGGAGAAAAATAAAAGAAAAATACACATGACTTGCATGGGCACATAGCCATACATGATAGCACATTTATTTTTCTTTAGATTTTCTACTATTAAATTACCAAAACTGCACTTAATAGGAAGGGTTAAATTATTAAACTGTTTGTTAAACTGTAACAAAATTATAATTTCACTTTTACAAAATACCTAAATATAAGCAGTGATGTCCTTTAAAGTACCCTTTTTAAATATTTATGCCCTCAAAATAACATGAGAAACAAAATCAAAGGATTTCTTTTAGATAACGTTCATATAATTGACATTAAATATTTCATTAAGTGTAAATAAGAATATGTGTCAAGTGTATAGGAACAGAAGAAACTTGATATAAGAGCATTTAAACATCTAATAACAGATCAGAATGATAGTGCAGTGGGTAGAGCATGTGCCTTACTTGGGTCAGACCCCTAGCATTCCATATGGCCTTCTAAGGATTTTCAAAGTAATCCTAGAGCACAGAGCTAGGAGTTAGCCCTGAGCACCATTAGTGTGGTCCCAAATCAAACCAAAACAACAACAAAAGAACAAAAGGACACACACACACATATGTGATAAAGATCTCTATCTAGTCAAAATACATTATGCAGACATAGGGCTGGAGCTATAGCACAGCAGGTAGGGCGTTTGCCTTGCATGCAGCCAACTGGGCTGACCCGAATTCCTCCTCCCTCCCTCTCGGAGAGCCCGGCAAGCTACCGAGATATCTTGCCCACACAGCAAAGCCTGGCAAGCTACCCGTGACGTATTTGATATGCCAAACACAGTAACAAGTCTCACAATGTTACTGGGCCCACTCGAGCAAATAGATAAGTAACGGGAGGACAGTGACAGTGACAGTGTTTATGTGTTTGCTTGCAGTTATTTGCAGTTCATGCCTACAATTTATATTTGTTCTTCAAGACAAATATAGAAAATCTCCTATAGTAATTTCTCTGTAAAATCATAAATAAAATCTACTTCAAACTAAATGAAAAGGTCTAAGATGAATAGCATTTGTATATATGACACCTTGGATTTGATCCTTGGATCCTTGGTAATAAACACACAACACACACACACACACACACACACACTCACACACCCCGCTACCACATCCACCACCACTAAAACACAACACCAAACCACACCATAGTGGACCACATAGATTTTAGAGCTAGAAAGACGGATCACAAGATAAAGCACTAACCCTGAACATGATCACGGATACTATGTGCTCCCTCCCCACAGCAGTATTGGGTGTAGGCCCTATAACAAACAAATGATAGGTCCAAGGATGTGTCTAAAATGGTAGAGATGTAACACGCCTTACATGTGAGAAGACTGGGCTGGATCTCTGGCACTGCATGCCACCCTGCCAAGCACCACAGGTCCCTGAAGCATACCAGCTATGGTCCCCACAGCAAAAAAGTAAAACATCAAACACATTTATCTTTGTTTATATACACACATATTAACACACATACATATATCTATATATATATGTATGAACACACACATTTATTTTAGCTCATGCCTGGGGACTGCACAGGGTTCACTCTGGCTTCTGTGCTTGGTGATCACTTCTGTCAGGGCTCAGGGGACCATATAGGGTACCAAGGGATCGAATCCAGGTTGGTCTCAGGTAAGGGAAGCACTTGCGCACTATATTATCTTTCGAGCCCCAAATTTTTTAACTCAGGTATTGAGATTTCCAGATCAAACATAATCACATTTCTTTCATAAAAAGCAGCATTTGCCCATGGACATTTGGTGCATATATTTATCTATGCCCAAAAAAGGACACAGCAGTAAGATTTTACCAAGAACATTTAATGTACCAACAAGGTCTGTATTAACCTGGCTATTAAAAAGGAAAGGAAGCATCTTGCAATGGTATTTCTTAATATTTTGTTACATATTTAACAACCAAAACATGTTTAGAAAAGGGTGTGGTCTCTAAACTTACCCAGGTATTATGAATCTCACTGTAAATTCCACCTAAGCTCTTTAATTAGGAATTAATTAGGAATTATGTCTAAATGTTGAACACATAAGTCATTAAAAGCCATTTTAATACTTAATGAATACTTTATAAGCATAATAATTAATGACATTCTTTCATCTCTAACTAGAAGGTGCTTCTGGCATCACATCAATATTTACTGCAAGTCAGCTCAAATTTTACTGCCAAGATTTCTGGGTCTCCTCTGCCTGTGCATATGTAATCTGAATACACCAATGGATTAATATCACTTGGTCATTAAATACAACCTTAAATATGCCAGGATGTTTTTCCTTTCAAAGGGAAAATTCTGAAAATGTAATTTAACTTGCTTCTCAAATCTTCCAAGTAAGTTATCTTTACTCACTGAATGGAAGCTTGTTGAAAAGCCACTGCTTATTAATCTCTTCCCTTTTCATTTTATTTCTCATATTTCTTTTAAGTTGTTTTGAGAATTAACTTATAAATAATCCCTGTACTTAAATCCTTGTCCCAGGAACTATTTCAGGAGTAACCTAATATAATTTGATACTAATACTGATTTTAGGAAACAGATCCTAAAATGGGAGTCTGGAATGGAATAATCAACAACAGTTTAGTATAAATGACTTTAGTGTTAAATGGCTGTATTTTAGTCATAACTAGAGTCAGAAAAATTGCTCACATGCTATAGTATCACAATTGCAATGATCTTCAGATGAAGTGATGGAACACAATCCAGATTAAAGGGGATGCACCTAACTTTTAGGAAATAAGGGACAATCATTAAGGAATAGACACTCTGGCTATTATTACATTCCCTAAAGAGAGCAACAACCTATTTCAGCCAACTATCAACTAAGGGCAAAAATGTGGGAAAGTTAAATGAGTTACAATGTGAAAATTATAGTCAGGGAACCATAAGTTAGAGAATTATAAAGGAGACTATTTTCATAGCCTTGAAAGTTTCTATGGAAACATCAGGGTAGATACTGGCAAGGAATGGAATCCTAGGAGTAGAATGAAGACATCTGGGTGAATGCAATTGAGAACAGAATAAAACCTGTGAATAATCAGAAGTAATTACTACCGTTTATTGAACAGAGCTTCTCTGTTCCCTGAGACTATGAAAGAGGACATTGGACATCCCCCCAAAAAACTGATCTTATCTCAAGGCATAGCTCTGGACAACAGAAGAATTTGTATGTCTCAAGGTGGTCCATCTGGAAAATTAGTCTCTGCACTAGGAAAATATTAAAAAAAATTCAACATAACAGATGCAATATCTGTGTAATGTGAACCAGTGCATACTGGGAGAAGATGCCAGGTAGGATTATTAAAGCATCTTGAGGCAAAACACTACTTGGTAATCAATTTAGTGTGTAAGAATGAGTTGTCAGTTAAGAAAATATGTGCACTCCAGTGCATTGGTAAGTAGCTTGAATGGCTGATCAATACCCCTGAATAAAGTATAATACTATAAAACTTACACTAGACAATAAAATCTGAAAAACATGAAGATGAAGAAATCTTGATAAATGTGAAATGTGGAGATCTTTGTTTCATAAGAGAGTACTAGAGAGTGTCATTTACAGAGGCGTCACTCAAAGTTAAAGGCCTATAGGATTTGTCTGCTAAAAGTCTTTCAGTCTTTGGAGGTGACAACTGTTGTGATTGCAAAATGGGTGCACAATGGAGCAATCAATAGCAAAAGCAAAGAGGATAATTATACACCTAAAAGCCAAGACACCTCAAAAGTATGATGCACAGGAGGCTATGGCTATTTGCATTACAAAAAGTGGCTTAACCCAGCACAATTCCTGACAAAGCATCTGATATATCAAGCACTATCTGGGAGTTCCTGAGAACAGAGCCAGAAATTATCTGAAGCACCAGTGGGTGTGGCCTGAAAATGCCTACCCAGAAAATAAGCATTACAGTGAACAGAAAATTGTTATCTATAATCATCTAATTCTAATATTAGGTTGTCACTAGGAATTACAGTGATATAAATGAGTACAGGGGTTTGTTATCTACCTTAGTTCCTCTAAGTGAAGAATATGTGTAATGCCTGTCCTCTGTATTCATTATTTCAATTCTTTCATTCAGTTTTAACCTTAGAAAATCTAAGAGGACCTTGGCATGAAGTACAGAAGCCAATAAGAGTCAATAGTAGAGGGCATTTTCAGGAAGATGTTCTATAATGAACCAGAAATATAGTAACTATGATAAAATACTATAAGGTGTTTAAGGATGACGGGAGCTAGAAATGAGGTTTTATTATGTAAAATTAAAGTCATATACTTACTGAAGCTACATTCACAAAATCATCATCTGAGAGTGTTTCCAACATTTCAGAGACAGATGTGCGGATCAATTTAAGGGTCAATCCACTAACACTCCCACTTCTATAAAAAAAAAATCCATGGATTTTAACAAGCACATATATACTCAATATCAGTCCTAAAAAGGCAACTTATATATTGGCTATAGAGCAATATTCAAATGACAATATTCAAACTCAATATTCCAGTAACACCTTGGTCTTAAAATATATCAGTAGTATAGAGTATTTTTGAGAGATAAGAAGTAACAGAGGAAATCATGTCTATCTTTCTCATTGACATCCATTATATATTTTTCTAACTACAATGATTAATGATTTTAAGTCAAGTGACAACTTAAAGAAAATACAAATATTCATTCCATAATCAGAAAACATATACCAAATATCAGAACTTTTAGCAAGCTGGTAGTGAGGGGATTTAATAGAAATCATTTCTGCCCTAGTGAGCTGATTTACTTGTTTATACTAATAAGTAGTTTTTTGTTCTGGTTTGTTTTGGGGGACCACATCTGGCAGTGATCAGGGCTTACTCCTGAGTCCTGGCTCTGCACTCAGGGATTACTCCTGGTGGGCTCAAGGGAATTCACAGGATGCCATAGGTCAAACTTGGGTCAGGCACAACAAAGGTGAATGTCCAATTGCTGGATATTACTCTGTCCCGTATGTCAATAATTAGGAAGCAGCATAACAATTGCAATAATAAGATAGTTATGTGGGAAAATTTCTAGTTTTAATTCTCTGGGATTTAGTCTAATTTCTGTTACTTTTGCGTTGTCTTCATTTTATGATCAATCTTTATTTTTGTGCTCCATGAACCCTGACAGCCTCTTCTTTGTAAAGGGCTTCTATCTGGGCATCAATCTTCCCACTTATACAGCTCTCACTCTCACCTACCCCCATTTTGGACTTCTAGCTATTTGCTGATCAACTATAAATTTCTTTTGTACACCTATTTTTCTTTTGTGCTGACACATTTGATGTCAAGCAAGCTATGTCTAATTACTACTCTTTTTCAACCAGTATATTTGGACAGTCTCCCCCTTTCTTCATTTTGCTTTGGAATATAGTCAAATTTGAGGCCTTCTTTCCAATTTCCCTCCACTCTAGCTCAGGTCTTAATTACCAGACAATCCTCAGCGAGACCCACAGCCACTCCTATCAGCTCCTAGAATTATCTCTTCACTAGGCTGGCAAGGTGAAAATTCTGGAAACATACCTTAATCTTATATTGTGAATAACACAGAGTTATCTACAAAACATTCAACATAATCAATGATTCTACCTTCAAAAAAACTTTCACAATCTAGTATTTTTATTTATTTTTGCATTTTTGGGTCATATCCAGCAATGCTCCGGAGTTACTCCTGGCTCTGCACTCAGGAATTACTCCTGGTGGTGCATGGGGATCATATGAGATGCCAGGGATTGAACCTGGGTCGGTTTCGTGCAAGGCAAATGCCCTACCTACTATACTATCAATCCGGCCCCCATTTTGTCTTTAATTTCCCTTCTTGCTACAGCTTCCCCAAGGTTTTCAACTCAGCCATTTTACTTTGGTCCATTCTTCTGCCTGAAATTCTATTGCTCATTCTCCCAACCCATGCTATCCTTGTTAAAACTTAGAAATAGAAGTTTTATTAACAGTTGAAATTTTCTTATTCAAGTCTTTTCTGAAATTTCCATGTATTCCTATAATTATGTACTATACTTCATACTTATTACATTCAACAACTACTTTACATACTTGTGATGATGTTTTAATTTCACGACTTCATGTGAATCATCTTTGAGTTAGGATCAATCTCTTATTTGTCTCTGTATATATACTATCACAAAGTAGTGGGGCACAAAAGAACATGTTACTGTTAAAAAATGTTTTAACAGAAAATAATATTTTTGAAATTTAAAATTTTGAAATAACATTTTTGAAATCATTTTCACATATATATTCAATCTCAGGAAAAAAACAAGTGGGTTCTAAATTTTTAAAAATAAATTATTATTTCTGGGAATTATTATACATCCAGTAGTATTATACCATATCACATTACTATTTAAATTTATATGTAAGGATCAGAATATGCTAAAATCACTCAATAATTTAATTAGAGTAAGATGTGGCTTAAGAACTTCTAAATAAATTAAATAAAAATGTTAAATAAAGCTCTAGGGCCAGAAAGTAAGTACAGTGGGTAGGACACTTGCATGTGGTCGACTTGGGTTCAATCCCTGAACCTCATACGGTCTCTTGAGCCCTGAGAGACGTGATCTCTGAATGCAGACCCAGGAGCATCTCCTGAACATTACAAGGTATGGCAAAAACCCAATAAAATAAAAGGAAATAAAATTCAATACTTGTTGGATTGTCTTCTTATTGCCAATTAAATTTTACTGTTTTAAGTTTGCTTACTTCAGATTATAATGAAGAGATATTCAAATGTTGATGCTAGCCTGTGATATAAATTTATTTGCTTATAAACCACTGGTTTCTGTTTCTTTCACTATGAAAAAGAATATATGAAATTTAACATTTTTCTCTCAGGAAAAGTAACCTGAGCATATAATAGCTCAGGTTTTTGATTCATTTTTATTACCTTATAAAAGTAAAAGTCCATGTTCATTTTTTTGAGGGGGGAGGGGAAAAGGTGTATCTGTCAGTGCTCAGGTTTTACTCCTCACTATGTGCTCAGGCCTTTTTCTTGGTGGGATTCAGGGGACCATTATAGGGTTTCAACCTGAGCCAGCAGCATGCACATAGGGTAACTGCCTACCTGCTGCACTATTTCTCCAGTTTTAGTAGCACACACATTTTCATTTTTGTATTTCAAATTTGACAATTAATGTTATTGGAAGATTACACATAACAGATATCTGAGTCTATAGCATACGAGGATAAAATAATTAATTATGGAATTCTTTCCTTGTATTAGTATTTCCTCTATAAAGTCCCATTCTGAACACTGAGTTTCACTATAATCAAGCCACTGAATTAAAAATAGCTAAGTGCTAACTTAAATTATTCTACTTTGTGTGTGTGTGTGTGTGTGTGTGTGTGTGTGTGTGTGTGTGTTGGAGGGTGGAATCAGAAACTATAGACTTTATATACTTTACTGTTGTTAAAAATATACAGTGGGACTCTGTGTGTGTGTGTGTGTGTGTGTGTGTGTGTGTGTGTGTGTTTATGTTGGAGGGGTGGAATCAGGAAAAATAGTATTTTTATTTATATACTTTACTGTTGTTAAAAATATAAAGTGGAACTGTAGAGATAGTATAGAAATTAAGGGATTTGCCTTGCACATAGCAAACACTGGTTTGATTCCAAGCATTGCCAGGAGTGACCTCTGAATGCCGAACTAGGAGTAGCACTGAGCACTGTAGCCCTGTCAACCTCTATCCCCTTCTTTCTCCTCCCCCAATAACATATGGCAAAACAATGGAAGTGGATAAATATTTCTGCAAAAAAACCCCTTTCAGAATCATGATATCGTTTTCTCATTTTGATGAGTTAATTTCTTTTTGTTTTACATTGCAATGTTGCTTACCTGTTCAGACATTAAAGTCATCATAATTATTGCCTTTTATTAACCAATCAACAAACATCTCAGTCATAACATTTAACTGTTATCTACTCAAGTACTCTATTACCAGAAAAAATATATATCTATATATGTATATTGTAAAATTTAACCACTCACACATCAACCAGAATGAGCATGTCCTTAGGAGATGCAGCTCCTTGGATGTACCTGAAACAAACATGCAAATATATCTTTAATACTGAATGATATCAAATTGAACTGACATTTTCTTAAAAATAACAATTTTTTTTTGGCTTTTTGGGTCACACCCGGCGATGCACAGGAATTCCTGGTTCTTCACTCAGGAATTACTCCTGGCGGTGCTTGGGGGACCATATGGGATGCTGGGAATCGAACCCGGGTTGACCGCATGCAAGGCAAACGCCCTACCCGCTATGCTATCACTCTAGCCCCCCAAATAAGAATTTTTTTAAGGCAGAGACAGGCTTCCACTATATCTCAGTGGACAATAGTATTAAATTTCTGCTTCTGTAATATAAAGTTTTAAGAAGGTGTATTTAACATAATAGTAAATACACTTTTAAAGTCAGATCTTTATACCACAAAAAGAAGACATACTTTTATCACTGTCAGTGTCCTCCCATTGTTCATCAATTTGCTCGAGCGGGCCCAGTAATGTCTCCATTGTGAGACTTGTTGTTACTGTGTTTGGCATATCGAATACGTAACGGGTAGCTTGCCAGGTTTTGCCGTGCGGGCAAGATACTCTCGGTAGCTTGCCTGGCTCTCCGAGAGGGGTGGAAGAATCGAAGGTGGAGAAATCAGGTCGGCTGGGTCAGCCGCATGCAAGGCAAAAGCCCTAACCGCTGTGCTATCACTCCAGCCCATATTTTAATAGTAGAAGCAAAAAAGATATTGACATTTAGAGAATATTATCCTGAAAACAATAACCCCTAATTCCAATTGGTTTACTCTAGGCTGTAAAATCAATTCTTACAAATAACAATAATGAGCAATAATAAACTTGTCACATTTTAAAATTTAAAAGATATGCACACAAGCAAAGACAGCTTAGGAATGTGCAAAATTAATACCAGCAGAAAGGAATATAAAGTGTAACAGAAGCTTAAAATAGAATAATAAATAACATAATACCAAGAGTTTCAGTGGGTGGCTCTCTAACTTTCTACTTCCTAGGAATCTCCTGGAAGTGAATTCACAGTGCTGGTTCTTAAACTGAACTCCAACCCTAAAACTCCTGAATACACATTTAAAGAAACTCTAGGGCAATGTTACTTAGACAAGTCAGCTACTGTGAAGTTAAACTTAATCACAGGTGAAGAGATCCTAAAACATAAAATGCCTGGACACCAAATTAGGGGAACCACAGGGATAGGTTCACTTGAATTCAAATTTCCACTACAACTCTCAAGCTAACATTAGACAATGTGGACAGAGAATTTCAAAGGAAAGCAAACCAATCTAACGTCTATCATGTTATTTTTATTTGTTTATTTTTGGGGGGCCACAGTCAGTGCTGCTCAGGATTTATTCCTGGAGGGGCTCCATAAACCCCACAGGGTGTCAGAGATCAAATCTGGATGTCCATGTTTAACACAAACACAATATACGCTACACTACCTCTTTAGCCCCAATGTCCGTCATCTTAATATTCTGGCGAGCCTCTCAATGGGAAAAATGGAGAGGATGAAGAAATTTTCTTCTCTTCTGCCTGACAATGGGCTTTTTCAGTTTCTCCCCAACAACAGATTTCTGAACACAAACCATTTGATGTCAGTTTGCCTTCTACTCAATAACCCTTGACAACAGAGTCCCCATGCTTGGAGCAATTTAAGTCACCAGGCTTAGTACAATACAAATTGTATGTGAACTGCTAACACGTAACACTATTATACATGGTTGATACTCGTTTAAATTGCAACTGGAACAGTTAAAAGACAATTTCAAAAACTTCTAATCCTGGGTTCTAAAAGACAATACAAGGGTTAAAGTGCATGTCTTGCATGCAAAGGACCTGGTTTGATCCCTTGCAGGAGATGGTCCTCCAAGCATTGGTCCCTGATTGGCCAAGATTAATGGTAGGACCCTGGGGTCCTCTGAGTACTGCTATGAGGCCAAAGCAAAACAATAACTAGGGCGAAGACCATGGTATAGCAGGTAGAGCTTTTATATTGTACGCAGCAGACCAGGGTTCTCCTGCATGCAAGAGTGATCCCTGATCACTGAGCTCAGAGTTAGGAGTGAATCCTGAGCACCCATGGGTTAGGAGGCCTCCTAACAAAATCCCCCCCCAAAAAAGAACCAGAGAAAGAAATCAAAAAAAGAACAACTCTTCCCACAATGAATCATTATGGACTCTCAGTTTATCTTAACCCTAAGGGGAAATAATCTATATGTCCAATAATAAAAATTTCTTCAATAACTTACCTATAGTTTTTTTATGATATACATTTCCTTATAAAGGGGCACTCAAAGGTACTGGTATCACAAAGCAGGATATAAAGCAATATATATATAAGATAATGCAGATATTTTTAAAGGATATTCATATTGGAGGACTGGAGCAATAGTACATGGTAGGGTGTTTGTCTAGCAAGCGGCTGACCCAGGTTTGATTCTTCTGTCCCTCTTGGAGAGCCCGACAAGCTACCAAGACTATCCTGCCCTCACAGTAAAGCCTGGCAAGCTACCAACGGTGTATTCAATATGCCAAAAACAGTAACAAGTCTTATAATGGAGACGTTACTGGTGCCCACTCGAACAAATCGATGAATGATGGGAGGACAGTGCTACAGTGCATTCACATTGGGAAAATAAAAACCTCAAAATACAAGGGTGTAGCAGTTGTTTTCGAGTGATTAAAACTATGAGTTAGTAGTATTCTTCAAGTTTTATCTTAGGGATATGAGGTGTTTTAGTAGAGAGAAACAAAGAAGACCTATTTTTTAAAAAAACAGAATCTAAACTATAATGACTGCAACCTAGGGAAGTCTTACCTGGAGCCAGTTCTCATTACTTCACTGCCAGAAGGCAAATTCTCCTTGTCTATTTGGACACTGCAATAGAGATCTACTCTAGACAAACTGAAAGGCAGAGTCTCACAGTAGAAATTCTCACCACATAAAAGTGGTTCAGAGGTGATATTTAATATAAAAATTAAAGTAGTTCATTTTAAATACATTTCAGAAATCAATTGAACAGTATCTGTTATTTGTGTTCACTTGAGCACATCTTGATTTACACATTTAACAGAGCTTATTTATTAAAAGGGAAAAGATCATCATAGCTCTTTATTTTTTTTTTTTTGCTAAGAAATTAAACTCAATGTGAATTTTATTTTATTTTTTTTTTGAATTTTTTTTTTATTAGTGAAACACCATGAGGTACAGTTATAGGCTTACAAATTTTGTGCTTGGGTTTCAGTTATACAATGAGCAAGTGCCCATCCCTCCACCAGTGCCCATCATCCATCACCACGGGTCCCAGCACCCCCCCCATCCCCCCCCCCCGGTCCCATCCTGCCTCTGTGTCAGGGTATTCCCCCTTGTTCTCTCTCTCTTCTTTTGGGTACCGTGTTTTGCAAGAGAGGCATTGAGTGGCAATCATGTTTGGTCTATAGACTACTTTTAACATGCTTCTCCCACCCTGGGAGGGTCCTCACAACATCATAGCTCTTTAAATAGTTAGATAATATTCATACTCATAACGGAAAAGTTCACTCCAACATTTTAACAAGAAATTTCATCTTCTTTTGTCTATTTAGTCTTTTCAAGACTAAAAATACTTACCATGGTCTTCTGCGAACATCATAAAGATCAATCTTGTTTGGAGTTCTGCTGTTATCAACCCATGGAGAAGCTGAAAATAAAGAAAATAAAATAATTAGATATTATCTCCAAAAATTACTACTTAAAAAATCTACAAAATAGTATAGATGCATGCCACTAACTTATGGTACTGCTAAAGTGAAAAATATAATTTTATGCTCTTAATCTCTTTTGGGCTGTAGCGATAGCACAGAGGGTAGGGCGTTTGCCTTGCAAGCAGCCAACATGGTCAATTCGAGTTCGATTCCGCCGCTCTCAGAGAGCCCGGCAAGCTACCTAGAGTATCTCGCCTGCATCACAAAGCCTGGCAAGCTACCCGTGACATATTCGATATGCCAGACACAGTAACAACAAGTCTCACAATGGAGACATTACTGGGCCCGCTAGAGCAAATCAATGAACAATGGGAGGACAGTGACAGTGACAATAATCTCTTAAAAATTTGGAAAACTGGACCAGAGATATAGTTCAATGGGCTGAGGGATGCTTTGCTGCACGGTAGGGGTCGGGGTTGGTTCCTGGCATCACATGTTTCTGGAGCACTGCCAGATACATAAACACAGAGATGGCAGTAGCCCCCAAACCAACAACAACACACATAAAAATCGTTTTTATTGTACACGCACAAAATATAGGGAACAGAAGTCCATTTTTCCTTTTTTCACTGAGATAACTTGAAGGCAGGAATTTTCTGGTCTGAACTCATAAGCTTTATCAGGTGTCCAGAAGCTATATATTCCTTCCTATATAACTAATTTCCTTTAAAGAAAATTTATTTGCCACTGACTTACATATTTTCCTTCTTATAAATAATTATCCCTTAAGACAATTTATTTTAAATTATACTTTGACTTATTATGCTTTTTATAATTTCATAATGCTGGACTATCTCAACCATTAAAATTACTGTTTTGATAACTGCTAGTTTTTGGTGACGTGTAAAAGTAGAAGACTCATGAAAATCTTTAAAAGCCTTTAAAAATTTTATTGGCATAATAAAAAGTAATTTAAGTAATTCTGAAAGGAATTCTATTGTTTCAGAATCTTAAATCATTTGCCACAAAGTACCTCTTCATTTACTGTATTCATTTTTAAATAAAACCAAATATCAACTCTTAAAATGAAATTTATATGTAATTAAAGGCTTTTCAAATCTAAATACACCTACATTTACCGCATCCATTTGATTAATTATTGGATGTGTTTAGTTTAGTTTAGTTTAGTTTAGTTTAATTCTTGAATATGTTTAGATAGAGGACACTTGGGGGAATTTTCTAATAAATTATTATTCCTCATCTTGTTTTTTTTTCAATTTCTCGAGGTACTATACATGGAGAACATTACTAAAATTTAGGTTTATTGGCCAATTTAAGATTAATTGGGTAATCAGGATTTATCAAAAATATATACTACTGAGCTCCTTTTTGACCAAAAATTTTGTCTTGACTACTAATATTTATATGAAATTAAGTTAATATGTAGCACTCACCCAACAACAACTTATTAATGTAATTAATACACCTGAAATGGTAAATTTATATGAAATCTTTCAATCTTATTTTGTAGAAACAGTAAGATAAAATACCACCTTTCTTCCTTTTTTTGGTGGTAATGCTGCAATTTGCATCAAACATACTAGTAAACATGTCAGTTCCCTTTCTAATATTCCTCTATAATTTCTGACTCTCCAAAATTAGGGTGCAATTAAAAATTAAACAATTATTTTACTTTATTTTTTGTTTTGGGGCCACACCCAGTGATGTACGAGGCTTATACCTGGCTCTGCCCTCAGGGACCATCCCTGACAATACTGAGAGATATCATATATGGGATTCTGGAATTCACAGTCAGGTCAGCCACATTCAATGCAAGTACCTTACAAGATGCACTTTCTCTCCAGTTCCTATTAAACTTTTTAAAAATTGATTGAAGATCTCTGATTCATAATACTCTTAATGATGGTTTCCATGTGAATAATTCTATCATGCCTATCCCCAGTGTACGTACTTCCCTTCCTCAAGGACTCCAACGCTCCTGTCCTTCAACTGCCTCCACCACCCTGCCAATCGTGTGGTTCAGTTCTTCTACTATGCGGATTTTGACTCTTTGTTGTTACTCCACGGTAGATCTTTAGATGAGAGACATCAATCATTTTTTATGTCTTTCCTTCTGACAGACTTTAGTCATCATGATTTTCTTTAGTTCCACCCATATTGTGGCAAATTGCATAATTTTGTTCTCTCTTATATCTGTAGACTATTCCATTGTGTATATATACCACAACTTCCTGATTCTTTCATGGGCAGTTGGGTACTTGGGTTGTTTCCATATCTTGGCTATAGTACTAAGTGTGATTTTGAACAGAGGTATGTATATTCTCCTTCAGAGTCGATGATTTTGTGTAGATACCAAATATTTAAATAAACTGAATCACACACTCGGCCCAATGTTGAGGTAATTTCACATTCATTGCTACTTGTTTCCAAATTCACTCTAAGAAAATGAATCTAGATTCTGTTTGTTAGGGCACCAACTCAATGATGCTTGGAGGTTACTTCCTGCTCTGTGCTCAAAGATCCCTGGAACTTTTAAATAATTTTTATTTTAAACAGAAGGTAAGAATATTTTTTAAAGATTTTTCCAGTGCTTTATTTTTTTCCCATAGAAAAACACCTTTAATAGATTTACTGATGTAATTTTCTCTTATCATTTATTTTTCTGTAACTGTAACATGGTCATAATTGTGTCTATATTTATGTTATGGTTCTGGTGTATTTGGTCAAAAATTCTTGAGAATATGAAGTTCCCTGAACCTTGACTCCTGTAAATCTGCTTTGAAGTCTTCAGAGCCCAGCTACTACAGTGCTTACAGCCTCCGTAAGCATATTTTTAGGGGGAGACACACTCCCAAAGTGGTGCTTGTGGAGATAAAGTGCATCTATTGCATAATATAAAATACATTCCTGGACCTTTAGACTATCTCCTCAGCTCTCTGGTTTGTACCCCCACTTTTGTTTTCAGTTTTCCAGTGCTGGGACCTAACCAAGGGCTTCACAAATGCAAGAAAAGTTCTCTAATATCCCTGAGCTTCCAGATGAAAATTATACTGCTACAAAGTGAGATTAATCATCACTATTAATACAACAGATGTTCCCATAAGTTGAAAGCGGTCAATCAATAAATTTGAATTACAGTTAAGAAAAACAAACTTCAGAAGTCATATTAAAACTAAACTTCTGATGCTTTGCAAATCACATTCATTCGGGTTTGTTTTTACTGTAATCATAAACTGAAATTAATGAATTGAATTAAATATGGTATGTTTTACTAGGCACCATAAAATTTACCCTCCTTTAAGATAGAAAAAAGAGCTACAATTTACTGTGTGAATTAGATAATTAAATTTTAATAAAGTATATAATCTTAGAGATTTACATGTAAAAATAATAATCTCCTCTTAGAAGTCTTGAGATATTACTATTAGGATAGTCCCTTGGTTATAGTAAATTAAGCTGTTTATATTATGGTAGAGCACTTTCATCTGTGATATTCTAATTAATCTGTTGTAAAATCCCATTGTGTCACTTAAGTAACGCATTATTTATATAGGCTCAGAATTATGGAAGGTCAAATAGTTAAATGGATGATAACCAAATGATACAATTTCATAAAATAATCAGTTTCATAATGATAAATAATGAAAGTATGTGTTTTGAGAGGAAAAACAGCTAAAATTACTGCAGAGTAAAATGCTGCTCATTTTACAAGTGCCTTTAGATTTCCAATAATATTTGGGGGGAGTAGACAAAAGAAAACAACCACCCACAGCATGAGTATCTCAGTTCTGAATGCCATTTAAAAAGTAATAATCATTGTTTATGCAAAATCTCTCCATTATAAGTGAACAGTGGGTGTACCAGAATAAGTTAACTGGGCTCCAACTCTGCTTCTTACAATAGTTATATGTGTCATTTATAAAGCCACTAACCTAAAAAGAACAATTTTGAGAAGGGCTTAAGAAAACATTCATATTTTAGAGTCATTCCCTGGTTAATATGGTCTAAAAATAATATAGTATCAGTCTTCTCAGTTGTTAATAAACAGTAAAGGTTAAAATAAATTGGAGGATGATTTTCGTTGTAGAAAGACCATCAATGACAGCTAAGTGCATCTGCAATTGCTAAATTCAAAATGCATTATTCTCATTTACAAAAAAACTTCACATTTTTAGTTTCATAAAAAAGCTAAATTCTATATATTCAAAATTACCTTTAAGAATCAAGCCAGTTCCTATTGCTTAGAGTGAATCAGTGTTTTATGGATCACTATTTTAGGCTTGTTTCAGTCATCTCCCATGGAGTATTAGTCATGGTTCTGAACTGCAAGCCAAAATAATGAATTTGAGCTGTTTTCAAAAGTTAGAATTAATTAAATAAATATGTATAGCTGAAAACATTTCCAGGAATCTCAGGGTCGCTACCCAACTATTACCATCCCCAAATAAATTCTCCAGAGTCCCTAATGTCTGTGCCTCACAAAGCTAGATCCAGTATGAATCTCATCAACAAACTAAAGGTCACACACTCAAATAATCTGTGAAAACAATTTACTCTTTAGATTTTGACTTAGAATATTATACTTATTCCCCACCCCCCAAATATTTTTCTTATTTGTATTTAATTTTGGCGTTGGGCCACAGCTGTCAGTGCTTAGGGCTTATTCCTTGTTCTGCATTCAAGAACCATTCATGGAGGGCATAGGGGATCATATGGGGTACCCAGAATCAAACCCAGATTAGCCATGTGCAAAGCAAGTACCTTATCTACTGCACTATTGCTCTAGCCTCCAGAGAATCTTTTAATCCCAGAAATACAAAGAACATTAAGAGTGTATTCTATATTCATTATGGTATCACAAAGTGCTAATAAAAAAACCTCAAATATTGTATCCCTTACCTCAGTAACATTTATGTCTTACTCATGGAACAATCTGTTAGATATGACTGGACACAGAGGCATGGATTTTACTTCA